GAACTCACAATCCTCCTGCCTCAGCCTTCTCAGAGGCTGGGATTAGAGGTGTGTGCCACCACGCCCAGCCTGACCACATCACTATAAAGCTCGTCACCCACTGCAGTGTCTACAAGGGAATCTTTTTAGGTTCAACTACACACAGACTCAACAGGTGACCAGAAGCCACACCTGGTTTTAGCCTACTCTGAGAATGTAAGAGGGAGACCCCAGCTTGGGAGCTCAGCCAGCCTGCCATGCCACCAGGTGCTCCCTCAAGTGGAAGGCCTTGCGGTGCCCAGCAGAGGGCGCTGCCCGGGTACAGGATGGACTACCTGCTGGGCAGCAGCAGGCCCCATCCTGGCTTAACATCTCAAGTCCCATGGGAGCCAATGTCTTTAGACCTGTCCAGTTATGAGTCACTGTGTTCAGGAAGCCCAAAGTATAATTCCCACCAGGTATTTATAGTTCTCTCCAGTTGTTAAAAACGACAACTTTATTTTTTTCAGAACAGTTTTAAATTTAAAAAAAAAAAAAAAAAAAAATCAGGACAACAGTGCAGAGAGTCCCCTGTATCCTACCCTGAGAGACCTCGGTCATTAGCACCCTACACTAGAGTGGCGCATTTGTTTCGATGAATGAACCAATGTGGATACACTGTCCTTAGCTAATGCCCACATTTTATTTGGATTTCCCTAGGTTTTATCCACTGTCCTTTTTCTGTTCCGGGGTCCCATTGAGGACACGGCACCGTATTCAGTTGTCATGTCTCCTTAGGCTCCTCTTGTCTGTGACAATTTTGCAGACTTTCCTGGGTTTTGATGCCCTTGACAATTTTGAGGGGACTGGTCAGGTATCTCGTCGAATGACCCTCAATGACATTCAGTTGGTCCTCAGTGGCGTTTATCTCATGATTACCCTGGGGTTACGGGTCGTGGAGAGGAAGGTCACAGAGGCTGAGTGCCATCTTCGGCACATCACATCAAGGGTGCATACTATAAGGTGATTTGACAGTTGATGTTGACCTTGAGCACCTGGCTGAGGAGATAGGGTTTGTCAGGTGTCCCCAACCCCCTTCCACACTGTATTCTTGGAAAGGAAGTCACTATGCACAGCCCACACTTAAGGATCACAGAGTTATGTGGTCCTTATATATCAGGAGTTGATAAAGGCTACAGAGAAAAATCCAGAGGAAGAAGTAAAGGTGCTGTCCCCATCTTTGAGGACCAAGGATCTACATATTTGGAATTCTGCATGGGAGATTTATCTCTTTTCCTCACTTGTTTATTAATTTTTTTCAGTTATTTGTATCAGCATTGACTTACGGATTATTTGTTTCATACTTCCGGTTGCAATCCAGTATTGGTTCATTTATTTTTCCCAGCTTTAGTTATTGAAATTCTTTTAGTTGGCCTATGTCCTTTGACACACCCCCATCACTGTGTGTGTGTGTGTGTGTGTGTGTGTGTGTGTGTTTAGCTTTTGTCTTCTGGCACTATAAGATGCTCCAGGTTCATCTTGTACATTTCATGCCCCATTTCTCCAAGGAGCCCTGGCTCTTCTTGCTGGTGACTGGCATCAGGAACCAGGATCTGGGTGCGAGGTGAGCTCATTGCTATGGAGCACCACTGCTTCTAGGCCTCTCAACTGACAGAGCAAGGAAATAGATATGCATATACTAATCCATGTTATATAAACGTCTATAAATATGTCTCATGTAATCATCTGCATCTATATTAAGCCAAGCATGAATTCATATTGATGTGTCCAATTCTAATCAATTGCTGTATAGATCATTCTAGCCTCTTCCTCGGGGGTCATTTTTACCATGGACAATGTTGCTCAGTAATACAGCAGACATAGTTTTTTTTTTTTTTTTAAATCTGTTTCCAGGAAACAGCTTGACAATTAACCAAAGGTCAAATTCACATGCAACAGAGGAAAAGGTTTAGTTAACCCTGTCCATACACTCTTCAATATAGCTCTGAGGACAAAGAACAAACTCTGGCCTATAGGACTTTCCAGAAACCTGGCCTACTGACAGATGCAGTCTCACCTCTACCACATTCCTCACCGAGCAGTCCACATAAGCCACATCTGTCTCCTTCAGCCCTCATTCTTACTGTGCTGCCTTCCACCCCAGGGCCTTTGCCCGTGCTAGCCCTCTAGTGGACCTCTCTTCCTTGCTCTCTCTACCCAACTGTATCTTCTAATCTGGGCTCAACCCTTGCTTCTACAGGGGAGCTATCCCTACCCCCAAGGGTCAGCACCCTTGCTTGAGGCTTTCACAATGTCCCTTTGCTGGGTAGCACCGACTACAGCTGCAGGGTTATATTTACTTATCTAGAATATGGGCTCTTGTGGATGGGTAGGGTTTACCTAGGTCACTGGTATAGAATAGGTATTCAAAAAAATACTTGCTCATTTTATTTGCTCTTTAGTTAAAAATTATTTATCAAGAGGCTTCCGGGTGTTGGTGTCTTTTCTAGTCTCTGGGGACACACCCTCAGGGAAACAGGCAAAGCCTCCACTTGTCTTTGGACACTCGTGTTTCCCTGGTGACAATAAACAAAGAAATAAACTAATATCAGGAGTTGATAAAGGCTGCAGAGAAAAATCCAGAGGAAGAAGTAAAGGTGCTGGGGCACTAGAATTTTTTTTGAAGGATGGCCTGGGTAGATGTCTCTGGGAAGGGGACATATGAGCAAAGACTTAAGGGAGGTGAGAGGAGTGAGTACTGAGGATATCAAGAAGAAAATGTCCCAGGCAGAAATATTGGCCGAGATCCAAGCTGTGTGGTAAGACTGTGCACCACAAGGGAGGAACTGGGTGATAGCTGCAAGGAAATCTTTAGTTCAACTCCCATTCCCTTGCTGAGTCCATTTCACAGATGAGAAAACTGAGCTATGAGTGGCAGAGCTGGGATTGCATTGGTGCGTGGGTGCCAGGGCTGGCTTCCCTTTGAAGACCCTAACACTGGGCCAGGTCTCAGGACGTCTTGGCAGGAGACAGGCCTTCCCAGTCCCTGCGGCGACTCTGCATAGGCTATGCTACCCTGGCGGGAAGAGTCCAGGGTGGCCTCTGCTCTCCTGGGGGGTGAAGACTGCACAGGCCTTTGGATGATGATCTGCTCATGATGAAGCAAAGGAGCCAGGACAAGGGGTCCTCATTTGCAGTCCTCCAGAGCCCAGGAGCCTGCATGGTCATGATGCCCATGGACAGTGGTGAGGACTTGAGGCTCAGAGAGGCCCCCCGGGTCTTCTGGAAATCCCACGCCTCTCAGATCAAACCTCTCTCTGGGCTTGGCCTGGGCCCCCAGAGGAAGTGCCTTCTTGAGTTCTGTGGAGGAGAACTTCACTCAGCCCATCTTAATAAGTCTGGGCTCAGTAAAGGACAGAAGCTGAGGAAGTCACCCCACTCCTTAGCTGTGCACCGCACCCGCACACCGGGTTCTGGGGGCTCAGGCTTGGACCCTGCTCTGCAGGAGTTGTCAGTCTGATGGAGGGGGCTGCCCTTAACCAGAAAATCACGCCGGTCAGAGATCAGAGTTCTCGGGCAGGCAAGGGGGGGAGATCAGATGGAGGGCCCCCAGGGACAGGCTGTGTGTGAAGCAGCCAGGTAGCCTTCCCAGCGGAGGAGGCGCTGCAGCTGGGCCTTGGAGCGCGAGGGTGTGCGCAGCCTTTAGCAGCGTCCCAGGAGCCCATCCCTCTTGGGCAGCGCACTACGTGGTCCC